GCCGCTTTCAGCGGCGCCCTCCGTGGCACCGCCGGACTTCTCCTCTATACGTGCAGCAAGTCCTCCGACCAGCTGCACCAGCTGGCCCATTTGCTGTGTCAGCGAACTGATCTCAGACCGCATGCTGTCGATCTGCTCGCTGCTATTTGTGTCTCCTGCCTGCGAGCCGTCCGGAGTGGTCCCTCCGGTTCTGCGGCCCGCCATCCCTAATGGACTCCCTCGAGGGAATGAACACTAGTGTGTTGGTATGTCCGTACTTGGGAGGAGAAGACACGCTTTAACTCTCTCTGATTAGGCACCCGCGGGAGCGAGGAAAGGAAGGGAAGAAGTGGCCCTCCCGAATTCGGGGAAGGGGGCCTACACATAGTAGCCTTTTTCAGGCATACGCATGCTCCTGTCTACGTACCCCCCCGTGCTGCTAGAAGATCTATCATGCTCGTATCCAGACACACGAACAATAACAGACGTACCAGCGAGGTCTCTTAGCTGCAGTACCCTGTAGTTGGCTTGTGTGACAAGAGGCTTGGGTAGAGAAAGAGAGTGATTTATTATCCACACACAGACACGCGAGCTGTCTGCACCTGACGGTTACAGACTCGGAAACACGCCTTCACAATGCTGTATAAAACACACACAGCGGAATAGAGTCGGTCTTGCATTGCAAATACTCCAACATGTCCTCTCAAGAGCTACGTCATTCTGATATGTGAGATACGAGTCTTCTACCAATGTCCTCTTAAAAAGAACAATCTCAATGTCCTCTCGAATAATATACCATTCACGAGAATTTGCTTGCATCTCTCAACTAAAAACAAAGTAAACACTAACTGCCGTAATTCAAGTAGCGACATTCCGTCCAACAAAGATCTTCCGTATTGATTCACCATCCAACCCTCAAGACTAAAGTCTGACTTCGAAGAGGGGAGGTGACTGCTCTCCTAGAAGCGAGAGGCGGTTCCTGAGAAACTTCACCGCGCCCAAGCTCTTCGTTAGCATGCCTGCCTTTTGGCAGTCAGTTCCGATCTTCTTCATGTCCACTACCTTGTCAACGATTAGGGAACGAAAGTGGTGGTACTTGACATCGATGTGTTGTTACGTTGAGTCGACTTGTTGGACTATCTAGTTGACATGGCACCAGTACTATCTTCGTACAATATCGTTGATTCCTTCTGCTCCCGGTTGATAGTCTTGAGTAGGTGGCGCCAGTAGAGGATTATCTTGCAGGCCTTGGACATTGCAACATACTCCGCCTCAGCCGACGAGACAGCCGTCACCGTTTGCTTCGTAGCCGTCGAGTCTACCACGCCACCTGCGAGTTCAATAATAACCCCAGTAGTCGATTTCCTGTCGTCTATGTCGCCTGCAAAGTCGGAATCAACGTAAGTGGTTAGTTTGCCTCCGTTCGATGCGTCCTCGCTGTATGTTATCCCCAGCGATGCGGTTCCCTTCAGGTACCGCATCAGTCGCTTCAGCTTAGCCCACGCCTTAGTCCCGGGCTTAGCCATGCTCTTGGTAAGCACCAGTATCGTGTGGGAAAGGTCCGGCCTCGATTTCCTACATATGTATAGAGCCGAACCTGTGGCAGACCGGAACATTGTAGTTTCATCCGGCGTCAGAGTCTCTTCCTCCACCACTGTGCTCATCGGTCCAACCTCCGCCGGCGTCTTCGTCGGGTGCAAGTCGGCCATGCCAAACTTGGCAAGTACGGCCTTGGTGTATGCCTCCTGCGTCAAGAGAATAGTGCCCGCGTCGCGGTTGCGGTGGATGGCCATTCCCACGATGAACTTCGCATCTCCTAGATCCACCGTTTCAAACCGTTCCTTCATCTGTTCGATAATGGTCGACACTAGTTCCTCGTTGGTCCCAGTGAGCAGAATGTCGTCTACATACACCATTCCCCCGCGTGAAGTATGTACAGGCACGGGTCGGCAGTGCTCGGTACGAAGCCTAGCTCCAGCAAGAACTGGTGGAAGGTTCCATTCCAGCCCTTCGGGGAGAGACGCAGGCCGTACAGCCACGCCTTGAGACGCCAGACTTGTTTGGCTTGCTCCGGCGTGCACCTGAAACCCTTCGTAGGAATCACGTAGACGGGCTTCGCACCCTCGGGCATTCTGGAGTCAAGGAACGCAGTCTTGATGTCAGCTTGCTTGAGAACTAGACCGTAGTACGCGGCGTNTGTTGATTGGTCCCAAGCCCAGTGCTGCTGTACAAGCACGGCTGACCCAATTGACAGGATTGGATAGATGGTCAAGTCGTTTTACTAGGTCGTCCCACGTAGACAAGCGCACAGAAGAGAGTGGCAGCGGGGAGCAAGCTCCCGTGCCGCACACCAGTAACCAGTCGCAATAAACCGCCTTAAAGATGCATCCATAACTCGGAACACATCACAGCTTGCTAAAGATACGCAGGGATTACCCCGAAGATCCGCACCCGCTGGGCGGTCGATTGCAGTCGCACAATTCCATAGCTCCAAACCACATATGAGTACTACAGCAGTAGCTCTCGTGAGGATTACATAATCCATAATCCACGTCACGAACACCCTCCCTGATTCTGTACATCGTCACTCATGCTTGTAAAACCAAGTATCCGGGTACTCACAGAAAACTCCAAAGAAAAAAAAAATAAACGAAGGGAAACCCGTCTACGGATCAAAACCCTCCGTCTCCAAGGTCACTCTGCTGATTGACTTGTCAACACAAATCTACACAGCTTCACCAAATTGCAAACCTACTCGTTCACAATTATCAGGAAATTTTTACTACTCCTTATCAAGTAGCCCCCTCCCAGCAACTGATCCTCACTGTATCAAGTTGCCGTAAGCACCGGGGCGTGTCTACAGCCCCAAGCACCAATCAATGTCAAATCGTCGTGGAGAAGCAAAAGATCCAACGCTAGACTACATCGTTCTCGCAACGGAAAGGCGTAAATCGGTGCTACATCGCTCCCAAATGACATCTAAAAGGGCGATGAACCAAGCGGAAGACCGGAAGATCAAGCAGTATCCCAACGCAGTTAATCAGCCAACTTGCTGGTACTCCTACGGGAGACACTGGTGACAGACAATTTCACTTTTCCTATTTCAAGTAGTCTAGTCCCCTCCCAGCAACAGATCCCGTGGGAGCGTGCCCTGTCGCCCCTGCGGGCTTTGTTTCGGATTCAAATTGAGTTCATTCTTCACTGTTGCCTCTATTGCATGAATTTCCAAGCAACCATCTGCTGTGTAAGTGGCCAGGTACTGGCGTAAGCAATTTTTTTTCTTGCAAAGTGAGTTTTTCTTTCGCTTCCGTTTGTGATGTACTGCTGTGGACACTTCGAGGGAAGAGTGCTGCACTCCAGGATTCTCGCGTCACAAACCGAACGGACGCACCACCGAGGAAAAATTTGTGTGTGCACGGATTGGAGCTCCTACCCAGCAGAATGTGGGTGTGTGTAATCGCTGATTGGAGCAGAAAAAACAGAACTCACGAGATTACGCGAGATCAGAATGTTGTTGTGATGAGTCAGTACTGTAGATAGGATGTGTGATGAGTCAGTCAGAGAAGAAAGAATCTCATTGGTGTCCCACATGGGACTCTCATGAGCTATCTTGATGGGGATACCACAAACAAACGAGGCTGTGAAGCTTTATAGTAGCCGTGGCAAAGAATGAGAACACAAATTATTCTCGCTGAGAGATTTGTGGTCTTGCTGCTACTGGTGCCTGTGTCCAGTGTGTCCTGCTGCTAATGGTGCCTACATCCCGTGTCCAGGCTGCCCTTGCTGCTACTGGTGCCTGTGTTTGTCGTCAAAACGTGAACAAATCAATCTACGCTCGCACGCTGCTGCTGCTGCAGATGCTGCCGATGCTGCGGATGCTACCGTGAGGTTCGACAATTGCCTATCTCGCGCTTGCGGGTCTCTGCTATGCCGCACGACCGGGTAGGTATGTAAAGCACCTCCAAGTGCCAACACTGCAATTGGACGCATTACTATTAATGGATAGGGGACAAGGCCGGAAACTGAAAAAACGGTTGAAGACGAATTCTGGTACACTTGATTGCGACGCGTTCCTCCTTGATGAACACAACCCGTAGTTATTGTCTTGCATGCATCGTGCTCTGATACCTAACCCAAACGGCTTTTGGCGATCATGGTTGTCCTATGTAGTCTACATAGGTTTATGCATCCGGCAGTTGTGTTGCGAAACTTCGTGTGCGCAAGGTTCCACTGCTGTGTGCATATCTTTGGATTCAGAAAATGAGAACTCCACGTGTTTGGCTTCCCTCCCGAGCGACCCAGCTGGTCCCCGGTACGTCAAACTTGTGACGAAAACGTGAACGGAGATGTGCAGACTGGCACCAAGTATGACTGCTCGCTGCTGCTGCTGCTGCTGCTGCTGCTGCTGCTGCTGCTGCTGCTGCTGCTGCTCCTGTATGGATGAGCTCGTCTCCCCGTCATTGTGGAAAATGTTGCTGGACTCCGTATTCGCGTGCGCGTGCGTGATTCGCCGCGCACTTCGTGGCACTCTTCCAGCTGGCACTCACTTTATTTCATGCCCGTGCCCCGGACGGCGGCGGTCCTCAAGCGTTACGTGGTTGCCGCGGCCGACAGGTCTACTCACGAACTCCCGCTTGCCGTTGGGATGGTTGTCGACGAGGTGTGGTATTCGCGAACCAAATGGTATGTACACCAGCAGTGAACGAGAACCTTCTTGTCGGAGCATAAGGAAAAGAATAAAGACATCATTGGACATCATCCATACAAGAAAATAGTCTCACCGAATCGAGCACACGCCATGATACCATAATCCATGATTACATCCATGATATGTGTCATGTGCCGCACATCGTGACATCGGGACGGCTTCATGATGCTCATACTGAGGAACACCACAGTTGTGTAGTTTCTGCAGCCTAGTTTATGTCGATCGCCTAGTTTAGGTCGATCTTATTGGAACCCGCGTCGACCTGCGCGATTCCCGGTAGGATGTGGTCCTGGACAACTTGTCAAGATGGCGGGAAAACCAGCCCACCTCAGCAGCAGTAGTGCGCAGGTTTCCTCTGATTTTTCTTGATCGAACGCCTCAAGAACCATGTTCGCCTTCAACAACACCCAACGCCCAACGCCAAACCCTGCTCTCCGCTCTCGCCACCACGCTGTGCGCTGACTACTCTGGGCAGGCGCCCCCGGAGGGATGGTGTCTGTCCGGCTCGTAGGCCTGGCAAGCGTCAAGGCGGCTGCGAGGCGTACATCCAGCGGCACATCTTTGAGTTCGGAGTCCCCAGCAGGAAGGATCCACAGATCGATCATCCTTCGCAAGTTCTTCGGTAGGTGCGGGGCTCTCCTCCGGAGGTAGGTGCTGTTGTAGTGTGCTCGACGGATCGCAGAGTTCCAGGAGCTAGTAGTCAGGCAGAGTTCAGGAGCTGCTGGTTTGTAGTTAGGCATGGGATCCGTAGGCACACACTACTGCTGTATGTAGTCGGCAGTTAGGGTAGTCAGGCCCAAGAATTGTCTGATCTCCGACGATACTTCTGTACAGCAGTACAATGTGGTACTACTGCTGAAGCTTCAGACAATCCACGCCGACGAAACTCGTCGAGGAGGTGCTTTGAGTAGACCTCTACAGTAGAGTAGTCTTTGGTATGGCCAGATTTTTTATATGGCGCCCCTGGCCTAGCATTGTTGGCTCGTTTTGCTTCAAAGTCTGCAGACGTAATGGTGACTGCAGATAGACTATACCTCTTTTTTTCCGTTGTCCTTTTTTCTCCCATGATTGGATTCTGTCGTCTGCCCCTCTGGCCCCTATCCTCCACTTCTACCAGCTAGACGACCCAACCGGGGTCACATAGGTCTGTAATGTGGTGTTGTTCCAGCGGGACCATTTGCTGCAGCAGTCTTTTGTATTGCACAACAGCATTCGTACGTGCAATCCTGAAAAATTAGTCCGATTGTGTTTCGGTTCGAGCGCGAGGGTGAATGTCAGCACCAAGCGACCAGCAGCAGCACACGTTGTCACCCAGTGAGAAGCGAGACTCCAGAGTTGCGCGCCGATTCCGTCGTCATCTCGTGTCGATTGCTACAGCAGTACACACACACGTGTCCCCCTCCGGAAAAGCACGAGACCGCCGTTACATCGGCGGCGCAATCGCAGGAGACACGCCCACACCGCGGCAACACGCCACCTCGCTAGATTCACTCGCACACTCGTGTCCCCCCCTTCCGTAACAAACACAAAACAATCAAGTAATCAGATCCGGGGGATGTGCGTCAGCCCGGACCTGCAGTGCGTCCTCTGGGCGACCGAGGGCCGCGAGGGGGTCTACCTCCTGGCCGTCGACAACCTGGGGGGAGGAGCACGAGGCGTGGCCAACGCCGACAACAGGAGTTGAAGCTGCGGCTGCACTTGTCTAGCGAAAGAACGCTGTTCGGCGATGGGGGCGCGGGCGCGGCGACCGAGGGAGAGGAGGAGCCGGAGGCTGTGACGGGTACGGATGGTGCTGCGCGGCCTCGTGCCGGCGAAGCAACAAAGACCGCTCGGGTCGGCAGCCACCTCGGTCCCAATCGTCCCCGCCGCGCTTTCGTCGGAAGAGCTGGACGCCCTCGTGTCTAGATTGGCTCAGTGGTGCAAGGAGGACGACGTCGTGGCCACCGTGCCGCCCTCCGACGCCCGCTACGGAAAGATCAAACGACACCGCTGCCGCCGCCACCACCGACGCGGAATGCGAGAGCAGCAGCCGCGTAGCCCGTCCCTCCGTGTAGGCCTGCTGCAGTCGAGACTCTCGAGGTCGTTGTCCCTGGCCTCGTGCGAGCCGAGCAGACGGAGTCCCCGCCGGGCGAGAGTAACAGACGCGCCTGGTTGCGCGCGGGGTGATGCCTCACTGCCGGCTCCTCTCCGGCGGCGGCGGCAGGGGGAGAGCGGAGACCGCGCCGCCGCCCCCTGGAATGGGCGGGGGTGACGTCCTCGCTGTGCGACATCTTGGCCGACGAGAGCGGAGGGCCAACGAGCGGCGGCGGTGGCGGCGGTGGCGGCGGCGGTGGCGAAGGTCCCGGCGGCGTGGGAACAGAAGAAGAAGGAGGTCTTCCCTCCAAGGCCCGCCGGTGCCTCCTGCGAGTCCTGCCGGTTGTTCGGGGCTTGCACAACCCGGTGGGCGCCTTGATGAGGTTGAGAGGGGCCGGGTGTTGGGGTAGCGGTGGCGCTGCAGCTGGAGCTGTCCGGGAACGAGCGAGAGGCAGCGTCGGTGAGGCTACACGGGGTGGTGGCGTTGTCGAGGGTGAGTCGGGGGGGTCCGGGAGACTATTGAGGGTGTACAAGGGCAGGATGTAAGATGCTCTAGGGTGTTGGTCTCTTGCGAAGGGCCTGATCTCCCGTGCATTCACAGACTGTTGGAGCGTAAAATGCTCCCACGAATAGTTGGGATGGTTCGAGTTTCGGTGTATACGCTGGCGTGTTTGTTATTGTCGTTCATGGACTGAACTTACCTGTTGAGTTTTTGTGTGAACAAGGGCGTTGTGATCTTGCATGTGCGGCCGCCGATGTGGTGTCCACTGCGATTATGCTTTGCCCGCCAGACTTCCCCACAAATTATTATCCTTCCAATGTGTACACATTCACGGAGGATCATCTACCCATCTACGAGACTGAGCGTCGCTCCGTACAGAGGATCGCCGCCGAGATGCGAGGCACTTTACAGCGGTTCCGGTATGTGCCACCACTTGTTCTTGTACGACTGTTCCTGTGTGATTTTTTTTCTACATGCAGCAACGATCACACTAACCGCCAGACCAATCAAACTACATCAGTCTCAGTGCGGCTAAGACGGGAGAGCGTTTCTAGAGGTTATTGTCTAGTGTGTGTGCGTGAATGCATCCATCCTATAGCGGGAACAAGAAATGCGAGCACGCTTTCGAGTTGGCTAGTTCCACAGACCGGAAGGGCTGCATTTATTTTGTCAACGATGCGCTAACCGGCTGACCAATGTAAAAATGCCAGTCTGAAACGGCACAAAATTGAACCGCCAACAATATATCTTATCACTAGGAGCCGCTCGCGTGGCCGCCTGTGTTCCCCTCGTAATACTCGAAACTTCACAACCTAGCTTGTGCCCGGGTGGTTGGATTTTGTTCTTAGGGGGCACGGGGTGAACAAGGCACATCGTTCGAGGCCGATCTCATTTTGAAAAACATCGTCCCTTCCCCCGCGTCGAACAGTCTCCTCCAGGGCCGACGACGACGACAGGAGGCACGGCGGAGGTTGACGACAAAGCGACGGCCGAGACCAAGTGAGTGGCAAGCGAAGCCGCGCTTCGCATGGTCAACGAGGACATCTTGCCAACGCGCTTGCGGGGGGGGAGACAACGCCCCCGGCGACGGCACCATTGGCGACGGCACCATCGGCGACGGCACCATCGGCGACGGCACCATCGGCGACGGCACCATCGGCGACGGCGGCGGCGACAGCAGCGGCGGCAATGGCGGCTGTGGTGGCAGCGGTGGCGGCAGTGGCGGGGGACAGACCGGGGTACCGTCCGCGGTGGTGGCGGCGGCCTTGCCCGCCCCCGCCGCTGTCATATTCGGGCGAGCTTCCGTCCTCGCCGAGGCGCTCTGCGCCTGGCAGCCCTTCGAGCTCACCTCCCGCCGCTGGAGGCGACCTTGCGGCCGCGGCTTGGGTACGGAGATGGCGCGCGCGTGCGTGCGGCCGTCTGGTTCTCGCGGCTGTCTCGCGACCACACACAACCGGGCCTTGTCTCAGGGTTTCCTAGGGGAGGAGGCTCGCGGGGTAGGGGGGATTCGCGAAATTGGGTGGCGAGAGCAGTCGTTGCTTACTGCGACCGGCCCTCTGCGGGCAGCAGCAGCAGCAGCAGCAGCAGCAGCAGCAGCAGCAGCGGCGGCGGTGGTGACGCAATCGTCGCCGGGGCCCACCGGCGTACAGATGGGCAAGGCGAGGGAGTTTGGCCTCGCGCCACAGTTTTTCTCACGCTGATGCGGTCTGCGGGGAAGATGCCGGCAGCGTCGGCCGAAGGGCACCCCGCCGTACAACAGACCGGCGCTCCCCCTGACGTCGCTGGACCGGCCACGAGGCCGTTCCCACTGACTCTTATGCTCGGCCACCTGGCGGACAAAGGTGGCGCATGGCGCCGGCGGCGGCACCCGGGCGCACACGGTCAACGTCGGCCACCGCGGGGAGGAGGACGAGAGGAGACCGTGCGGATGCCGCGCGTGCTTGACCCGGGGGTCCTACCAAACAGCGGCGCCGCTCAAGGAGACGGGCCGCCATCATCATCGCCTGCCGCCGCTGATAGAGAATATTCGGAGGGCCCTACCGCTTGGGTCTTTTCCTGCGGGCACGAGTTCTCGCTGGGGCACCTTCTTCAGAGCGTGGTGCCAGCGAGCGCTTCGAGCATCCGCCAGGCCACGGCCTCCCTGCAACGCACGAAGCAGGTGGTGGCGCTGGAGTACGAGCGGGGCCGCGGCGCCGGGGCGGCGTGCCCGGAATGCGCGGCGAAGGGGCTGGTGCAGCTGGCCGCGGCGGTGGCGGCGGCGGCGGCGGCAGCGACGGCCGGTGCCTCCGTGCAAAGGGGGGCGGGTGGTGGTGGCGGCGGGTGTCATTCCTGCCCCGCCCCCTCTGCCGCCGGCACGGCGGTTGCAGATGCGAGGCAGTCAGGGCGTGCGACAGAAGCACTGTGTGGGTTTCGCGCTGTGTTGCTTGGAATGTCGTCGGCCTCTCGGTGCAGGGCGGGCGGAGAGCGGAGGAGTGCTTGTGACAAAGGCGGGTTGAGTTGCCTAGCTCCTTGGCTCTCTGGGTGCCGATTGTCCTTCGCATTTCGCTGCAGCGTGTTTCCTGCGTGCGATGTCCATCTCCCTCTCACCCTAAGGTTCACCCTAATGTTCGCGTAGCTAGGCTTCCGTTCGTGGCACGTCATCATTACGACGATTGGAGTCCTCAGCGATACACACAGCGTGCCCCTCATTTTATCCGTTCGTGACGCCATCTTACCGCGGATCTCAATGCAGAACCGATCCCAGATGTTCGTGCGATGCACCTGGAAATACGAGGATTGGAGTCGTACAGTAGCATAGCAGCAGCAGCCGTAGCTTCCTATCCTTTTTCCTGGCGCCATCGCCGTACGTACCCAGACATTCAATGTCAAAAACTGAAGTAAAAAGCTTAATCGGCGACGGGGCCGTGGGCACACGGCAATCTATTATTTGCTCGCCATATATACTGGCGACGTTCGTGTAAAGAACTTGACAGTATTGGAAGGGTCTCTAGTGTCCCGGCAGCCTTTAAGCCCACTGGGGTACGCCGCCGGTTTATAGCGAGTGTTTCTTTTAGTTTGCATCTACCGCGCAAATGGGATTACCAATGAAAATACGGCGGTGTCGACGGGGGAATTCGAGGTCTTCTCCGGAAGGGCCCCGAAATTCAAAGAATGGGGGTGTCTGTGTTGTTAGCATCTTACACCAGTATCAGGCCAGTGTGGCTTGAGTCTCTCATGTCCCTCCCCCGCAAACGTAACATGTTTTGCGTTAATATTATTTGCATCGACCGCGCCAACGGGCTGACCAATGAGAAGACGTCAGTCTCAGTGCGGTTGGCAACACCAAACACTTCTGAATGCCATTAACTGGGACCCCGTGAGGGGACACGTGTTTGTGTCTGTGTGTTGATGAATTGGGCTGATGGCGGTTGCATAAGGAAACTGGTACATCCATATACCGACACACGTGTCGTCGTATCATTTCGGTAGCGTATCTGAAGATGACCTGATCACTCAAAAAGTGAGGTATATCACATCCGCATCGTCAAGCACAGCGACCGGTACAGTGTATCCCTCGGGAGAACTACAGGAGATAGCCGGCGATATCGTGGAGATCGGAACATTGGCATTCCTCTAGGCTGAAGAACATTTCTTGTGGAATGTAACGGAAACATTTTGTCACGGATCCCATTGTTTTTTTCCGCTCGCACCGTGTCGAGTTGGTGATACCCCGAACGGGTTTGAAACCGTCGCCATTTCCTGCCCAATCAACGTGGATCGTGCTCCCTACCTTGCTCACTCCACACTTCCCCCTAGCCAAGCATCTCTCCACCCTCTTCCACAACCAAGCTACAATCACCGTCCCATTTCCACAATGCACTCCTTTGGTCTTTTCGCCCTGGCCTTCGCCGCTGTGCTTGGCACCTCCTCTGGTAAGCGAGGTGCAACAATATCTAACTGCTGTGCGGATTTGCATTTTTGTCCCTGTCGAGGTCTTGTGAAGATGGCATCTGCGGATTTACGTTTCCCTGTCGAAGTGTTGTTGCTTGAGAACGCGACGACTATGGCCCACAAGGACAGCACGGTAGCCCCACAGTCTGCGCGTAGGAATCCAGGCGCGCGCCTATGCGTGTGCCTCTCCATGGCTCGTCGGCTGTGGATGCAATGTATAGCCACCCTCCACATGCTGCATTTTGACTTACTGAAGGGGTAGTTCTTCGTCGATCTTCATCTTCCACATCTTATTCGACACTTGCACGCCCACATGTGCAATCTTGTGCGCAAGCTGGCAGTGCCCGAAGCCACCCGCTACTTTCTTCCTTCCTTGTCTCTAACCCCTCCCCCCCACGGCGACCATTGTTTCCGATCCTTGGATCACAACAACGAAAAACGACAGCCCTCGTTGACGCGCGCAAGAGGACCGCCGTCAAGAAGTGGGCCAACGCCTACGACGACAGGACGTCAGAGTACGGAGGCTGCGACCCCGACGGCTGCAAGGCTTCCTTCACGCGCGACCGGAGCTGGAAAGACGAGTCCCGCTGGAGCTGCAGCGAGAAGCTCGAAGACGCCCAGTGCAACATCACGTACAACTTCGAAGAGCCCCAAGACATCGTGCGCATCAAGATCAAGTTCTACTAGGGGGACGAACGCGTCCGCACCCTGAAGCTCAAGGGCAGCGGCGAGTTTAAGAAAATCATCACCTCTAGCGGAACGTCCAGCACGTACGAAACGTGGGACATCAACACCGACGAGACGAAGTGGTTGAGCATGGAGGCGCTGAACCTCGACGACGACGAGTGGATCAGCATCACCGAGGTGCGGATATACAAGTATAATTATTTTCTTGCAGTCGAGAATCGCGTGCGAGCAGCATGTAGGACGGAACACACAACTTGATATACATGCCAAGGGGTCCGTATCCCTCCTATGTACACAGATCCCAAGCTGTTTTCCCTAACCTCTGGTGGCTATGGGTGCATCCATTGAATCAACATGTTCGTTGTCCTCCTGAGTACTCAGTAGCCTGCGGATCTCTGCACAAAAACTGTGCCGTCCACGCCCTTGAATTCGACGCATCTGCGGGAGGAAGTGCATGTAGTTGATAGTTGTAAATGTGTTTTGCCAGTATCCAAATACTGCTGTGCCATGTCAATCATTGCAACGGTTTTCTTATTCCGAACACACCTCAACCTCATGCCTGCACAGGTACGGTTCATGGTCGACTAAACGTTTCGGGGCCCTCAACAATCTGCAGGAAGAAGGTCGTTATCCGCAGAACAATGACCCAGACGCCATATATCTCCGACACCACATCTGGAGCGCGTACTACACTGTACTCCGAGTATGATATTGAAGCGACAATAGCCTGCCCGACATGGGCTTCGCGGGTTGTCGCATCGAAATACAACGATATTGTATTGCAGCCCAAAGATGTATTGTTCCACGTGGCGGGAATATTGACATAGGTTTGGTGATGCTTGTATTCTTAAGTTTTGGTTGTCACTGCTGCTGTGTAGCCGACCTATCTGCCGTCGCGTCCTAGTGTGCCACACTGATGTAGTCTAGTTTAGTAGACGTCGAGAGAGAATGGATCTACTTTTGCTACAGTAGTTTATTCTGCATGACAGAGAGACACTTGTGCTGTAGGTGCACAAAAGGTAGTCGCCTTTGAAGGTTCGTTTTTGTTGTTCAGCCCGGCACAATGATAGCCTGTGCAGCCGTTCAACCACGATAATATGTACCATGGTATATGTAGACTAGACCTCAGACAGCAGCTTTGTGCCCCGCCAGCTTCTTGTTCCATGCCTACCATGGTTGGTGTTTTTGTACAGACAGCACTTCANACATTCTGACAGCACTTCAGACAGCAGCTTTGTGCCCCGCCAGCTTCTTGTTCCATGCCTACCATGGTGTTTTTGTACAGACAGCACTTCAGACAGCAAGTATGCTGTAGTCGGCAATCATTCGTTTTGGTACAGAGTGGGACAGGTAGGGGGTGATGTTGCTGTAGTCGAACGGTGAGACGGACGTGTAGTTCAGTTTTGGGCACGCGTACGGTGCTGCAGGGATTATATATAGGTAGGTGTAGTAGTACCTCTTCGGGCTCTTGTACACCTTTTTCTTGCTACGTGTGCGTGTTCTTTAGATCCTCAGATGGCTCTAGCACTTTCGTGACCACGGGCCGAGAGTCTTTGCTAGATTTTGGCATTTAGCAACTGGCATACGGTTTAATGTGAAGTGAAGAAGAAGAAGAAGAAGACCTGCCATTGCGATGCTTTGCAAAACTGTTGGAGTTGCAAGATTCCGGCTCTGACAGCAGCACAGAGAAGAATGTGTGCATGATGTAGCAGCTATCTTAAGCTTGTACTGTATGCATTTTTGCCTTGATGTTACGAATATGACGAGCGCCCTCCAGCGAGCTTTCATTTGTTCTTGTTGCTGGAGCATTGAGTTGTTGCAGGAGTACAACGATGTAGACTGCTGTGCTGCTGTTGGGTTGATTGCGTCTTTGAAGTTGCGTGCTGTGCGATCTGTTGCCTGTTGGTTGATCCGCATGACACCAAAAACTGATGAAAACATTGTAGGACTATTTCAAGAAACAATTGTTTCGTACAAGAAGCATTGCTGTGGCCTCGTTCGGCGCGGTGATGAAAGAGAGAGGAGGCCGGTCTCTGCCCTTCGTCGTATCTACAGATGGCCCTGGCGCCAATGTGCGAATTCGCACGGATGTCGTACATTGTAGACCTTTTTTATTTTTTAGACAGTAGACTAGACAATGTTTGTCTGCGATTCTCCAGTATCTCATGTGGCAAGAGCGTCCCCATCGTCGGAACCATGTAATCTGTAGGCCATATCTGTCGAATCCATCAAGAGACAGACGTATCACAACGGCTGCAAGATGAAAGATATCTGTCTGCAAGAGACGGGATGAAATGCAGTGGAACCCCACCCTGTCGCCGAAGTTTGTCGAATCGGCACAACATGGGCATTTTCAGAACCAGAACCTCACTGTCGTTGAGATTGCAACCTCACCTCCAGGTATCCTCACTTTTTCCCACTGAGTCCCCATCAAGCCTTGGGCCACTGTGCAAACCAAAGCAACACACGGTGCACCGCTCGAAACAGCTAGTGGTACGGTCGCATACTGCAGTAGGAAGACATAGCACCTAGAATGGTATGGCCGCCTCGTCGTCCTTAGCATTTCGGCGAGCTCTGGCCTGCGGTTCCAAGTATGGCAGCAACAGCGGCAGCAGCAGCAGGCCTCTGGCCAGAGCGCTGCTGTCCTCCTCCTCGCGAAGAGCGCCCGGCGACTCAGCAGCAGCATTGGCTGCCGATGCCGACGGCACATCAGCGAATCCAACACCGGGAGCGCCGCCGACCAGAGTAACGGTATCAACGAGCCCGGGACTCCGCGATTTTATTTCCAATGTCCATGTGGACAGCAGCCGCACGAGCAGACCCAACAACAGCAGCAGCAGCAGCAGCAGCGAGATGAGTTCTCCGGCTAGCTGGAACAGCGATGACGACGTCGACCCAGCAACAGCAGTCGCCCTGGAGAGTCACAGCGCAAGGACTGCCGACGGTGGGGATTGCGGCCTGGAGGAGAGAACTGCGGGTTCGTTTTTCATCGAAACCTACGGTTGCCAGATGAACGTGAGCGATACCGAGGTGGTGCGGGCCATTCTGTTGAAGGCCGGCTTCAGCGAGGCGGATACCCTAGAAGAAGCAGGGGTGGTGCTGGCGAACACGTGCGCCATTCGGGAGCGGGCCGAGGGTAAGGTGTGGGACCGACTCAAGTTCTTCTCGTCCATCCGGTAAGAGTGTGCATGTTCATTGTTGCACAACACGAATAGAGGCGTTGTATATCGTACGCGACACAAGATACCATACCCCCTGGACTGATCTTCAAAGCTCATGACAAACACACACCGTAAACGAAACGATATGTTTTCGTAAAGCTCTCGACGCGACGGCTTCAGCACCGCCATTTTCTACGCTGCCACTCTCCTTGTTGTGGAGAAATCGAGCTTTGAAAACCGGTTCAGAGGGGTAATGGTATCTTGTGTCTCCTACGGCACGACTCCGTATTTTGTGGGTAATTTAGGTCGCACATACATACATGTACATGTGTCAGTGTCACACCGAGATTCCTGGGGGCAGCAGGTAGATAGAACAGAGCTGCGGTACGATGCAAGCGCGGGAGGACGGAGTATTGCTCTCATTTTTTACCGAAACAGAGTGCCCCTGGGTTGCTTGCTCACTGCTGTTCCCTGTCTGTCGTCGGGTTGGAAAATATGGACGCTTTAGGCGGCGGCGGAAGCTCGCGGCGACCCACGCGGCAAAGGCTCGACAGCCTGTGCCGGGGGGGCTGAGCGACCTCAAGATCGGCGTGCTAGGTTGCATGGCAGAGCGGCTGAAGGTATGTATATGACGCACGTCGTTGGATTGTGCATCCGTGCATGATTAAGTCGTTGCCCGGAAGGTCGGCCAACACCTTGCCGTGAAAGTACTACCGAATCGCGCAAGGACTCCTGCCTCTTGCGGGAGAACGAAAGTGCCTCGAGGTAACACGAAAGTGCATCCTAACCCCTCTCATCTGCACACTTCGCAGATATGCTACGACCCTATGATGCCAATGAGATCACATTGGTATCATATATAAGTAGTCCAGTTCGGCACGCTCAGCAAACCTACTACTCCAGCGTAGCATGTGATCGCAGTTCTGTGACGTTTTTTCAATTGCCGTTGGGTACCATGTCGTTCATGAGCGAGCACATGCCGAGGCAACTTTTGCGTGCCTGAGCGCGGACGTGCACACGCTCTTGAGGTACGCTTGGCCGCACCCAAAAACTCACAGCTTCGTTCTACTGTTTGTTTTATTTCTCATTACCCGTTGAAGGAGAGTCTGCTAGAGCGAGGCGGGGTGGATCTAGTGACCGGGCCCGATGCCTACCGAGACCTTCCTCGCCTGCTGGAATTGGTCGGCACTTCCGGCAGCGGGGAGAGCACGGGTGCCGTCAACGTACAGGTGGGCTCGATTTGTCGTCGCTGGTCATTTTGGTTCGGGTTGGGTCGTTCAGCGCGTGTAGACAAAGTCACATGCGCATGTATTGTGAAGTCCTAGAGAGTGTGCCGTGTCTTTTTTGGCTGCATTTCAACAAGAACTGGTTTGCCCCGCGCTCGATTTAACTTTTTCTCGCCCACCCCCCTCTACTCCCTTTGCGGTATCAATGCTCCTCGGTACCCTCTCTTTGGCCACTCGTTCGGTGCTCTTTTCGAATGATATCACCTGAGGGAAGCTGTCTCAAGACGAGACGTACGCCGATATCGCCCCGGTGCGGCTAGTCAACAACACATCGGAGGCGGTGTCAGCCTTCATCAGTATCATGCGTGGCTGCAACAACATGTGCACCTACTGCATTGTGCCCTTCACGAGGGGAAGGGAGCGGAGCCGCCCCCTGGGCAGCATCGTGGACGAGGTATAAGACGGGAGGCTACACACAGAGGCGTGAGAGAGAGCGACAAAAGAGCAGATAAATTGTCAATAAAATGGCGTTGGAGGAAGGCGGAGTGAACAAGGTAGAGCTTAAGCAGAGCCAGATGGCTGTGTGATGGGAAGGAGGTGCACAAGAGATACAACAAGCAGACAGACATATCTATGTAAGGATAGTCGTTCTTTTCCCCGACCCACCCATCCCCTCTTGCCCCTCTTTCATGGGCTCGATCGTTCCCCATCCTCCCCATCCTCGAAGGCGATGCGCTTGCGGGACGATGGTGTCCGAGAGGTGACCCTTCTGGGCCAGAACGTGAACAGCTACCACGACCGGTCGGAGGCTTCGACCGCCTTGTACAAGGGCACGGACTACACCACAACCGCCGGCTTCGGCAACACGTTTCGCTCCAGGGGGGGCGCCGGCGCCTACTTCGCCGAGCTGCTGGCAGAGGTAACCACTTTTATTTTGTTCTTCTTACTCATGACACAACAATTTCATCTCCCCCATAAACAAGCTCAAGTATTTTTTTGGAATTGACTTGTCTCCCACGACGATTTCCGGGTAATGCGACAGTTGTGTTGGTTTGTTTTTTATGTCTCTCACGGTGGTTTTCGGGGCTGCGCAACATCGATTGCGTTGACCGACTGATCTTCGACGCCGACACGGTGGGGCGGCGTTTCTGATGAGGTTGAGTAGCTCGCCTTGAGGCATGGACTCCTCTGCTTGTCTCAATAACCTTAACCCAAAGGATAGTCTGCCACTGAAGCACCCAAACACCGACAAGAATAATCGTGCGAACCAACCCTGCCCTTCCACCATGCAAGCCTGTTTCTCTTCTCAGGAAAATCCCTTGCAATATCCCTGCGGCAGGTAGCATCCGCTGTCCCAGAGGTGAGGGTTCGTTTCACGTCCCCGCACCCCAAAGACTTCCCCGACGAGGTATGAAACCTGCGAGAAAACGCTGAGCGACTCGACTCACGCCTGAGCTAACATACTTAGTAGGTTTTTTGCATCTACCCAGGGCATGAGGGTGTTTATGGATGCCTCACTCCAAGATTGTGGCGGGCATGAAGCGTGCCGACGAGGTCTGACAAGCGAGAAGACCGCCACTCCATGGGGGCTAGCTGGTAGCGGATGTCAATTCTCGTGATTGCGTGGTCGTCCGTGCGTGGTGGATTGCGCGGAATTGCACGCACTCGTGTGGTGCTCCCTTCCTTTCCCTTGCAATCCTAACCTTTCGCGGTGGATTGCCAACGTGCGCGTGGACACAACGCAACAGGTGTTGCTTGCTTTGTCCGTTTTTGTGACGTTTGTGTACCCTGCTCTCTTGATAGGCTGTCGGCGGTTGTTCTGCCTGGATTTGACATTTTTTTTCTTTTTTTTCTTTTTTTTCGTGAGCAGGTGCTGGAGGCAATCGCCACGTTCCCCAACATCTGCAGGCAGCTCCACCTCCCGGCGCAGAGTGGCAGCACCGTTGTGCTGGTGAGAGCCCACTATGTGCATTTCTGTCCCGTTATTGCCCGTATGGGAGCGGGCCGAGTTGAACAGGTCACAACTCCTTTTGTTTTAGGCAATACGAAAAAAACCTCTTGCATCGTCAACGCGTGGAACAATCAGCAAGGATAGCCCTGTCGTCTACCTGGCCAGCATTGCTTCCACTGTTTTCCCAACAGGAGCGCTGGAGGTTTGCAGTTGCCAACCTAAGTCTTGCCTGCATCAAGAGCGTACCCCTGCCCCCCGTCCCCGCTCAGAGGTCTATGGTCTTTATGACTACGGTATGGTACATGAGTACCCCCCCCCCCCCCCCCCCCCCCCCCC